CCTAAACTCCTAAACCCTGAACCCTTGGCGACCAATTAATTTTTGCTCACAGAAGCTAGTGGCAGGGATCCAACTACCCAACGATTTCGAATCTTCCGGGTTCAGGACGGTTTCGGGCTTCGGGTTTAGTAGATTTCAGGGTTCAGTAGAGTTTAGGTTTCAGTAGAGTTTAGGGCTCAGTAGAGTTTAGGATTTATTAAGGCTTAGGGTTCAGGGTTCAAGGCTGAGGATTGTGGGGCTAGGTTCCGGTAGCATGTGCCCTTTTTCCGGTATTGTGCCGTCTAACATCTGGAGACCTCAACATAGAGTTGCCAGTGTAGTCACTGGGGAATCCAAGGGCTAAGGTTGAAACCCTAAACCCTACACCCTAAACCCCAAACCCTACTACACCCTAAACGCTCAACCCTACGGCCTAAACCCGAAACCCGACACCCTAAACCCTAAAGCCTACGCCCTAAACTCTACACCCTAAACCCAAAACCCTACACCCTAAACCCAAAACCCTACACCCTAAACCGCTAAGACTCTGCGTAATGGTCGAAGGTCGAGGCTTGTGGGTGTTGAGTTGGGGGACCAGAGGGGGGGGAGAGCAGGATTCAGGGTCGTTCAGGGTTTAGGGAGGACCTAGGGTGTTTAGGCGTTTGGGGTTTAGGACTTAGAGTCTTTTCGGGTTTAGGGTTCAGGACTAAGGGTGTTTAGGGTTCATCGCTTTGAGCTTGTTTGGATTAAGGGGGGAGGTTGAAAGCGTACACTACTGCCGCCCCTGAATCTATTCGCAGCAAAGGACAGAGATGCTGGGGCTGGCGTGAGCGTCGGGTGTAGACAATGTGGGGGGCCTTGTTATATATATAACAGGGTTTTGGGGGTTCCTACTTATAATTATAGTATAATATACTAACCCTAAACCCTAAACCCTAAACCCTAAACCCTAAACCCTAAACCCTAAACCCTAAACCCAAACCCTATATTAGAACAAGACCCCGAAGGCCAATTTTAAGTTCAGGGCCCAGGTTGCTCGGCTCGCAGGTTCTTGGTCTAGGGATTCATGCTTAGGGATTCAGGGTTTATGGACTTAGGGTTTAGAGATTTAGGGTTTAAGGTTTCAATTCATCGGCTCTTAAGGGGGTTTCGGGATGTTGTACTGCTGCTGGACGTCGGGTCCCCGAAGCCCAATTCCTAACCCCAAGCCCTAAACCCTATTTTTCAACGCCAGCTGCCAGGCGACCAATGATGAGGCTGCTGAAGGAAGGTGGCCATCGTCGCTTCGTGCGCATAGCTTCCTGCCAAGAGCGGAGCTGCACTGAACGATGGCACTTGGATGGGAAAGCAAAGACCGCAATGCTTGTCACCAACGATGCGTCAATACCCACTGCCCCTTTTGCCTTAGCCTTTTGACCTGTTGAACCTGTTGTACACGACCGCAGTCTTGACTTTGGTGCAAAGAAAACGGCATGCAGCAAAGTGATGATGCGGTCTTTGCAACGAGTTGCGTGCCACACCAGCCGCGAAACTCCAAAAGCACGCCCTACAATGCCAATCAAGCTCTTCCAAACCTCGGTTCATTATGATATACTTAAAGGATCATGGGACTTAGTAAGCAGCATCGAAATGCAGGGAAGTACGGCCATCACCTTTATGGGGGTTTCCGAAAATTAGGGGTACCTTATTTTGGGGTCCTTATAATAAGGATCCTATTATTTAGGGTACTATATTAGGGTCCCCTATTTTCGGAAACCCCCATATACTGTTATAGTACGTTACGGTATGCAGAAGAATATTGTAGTATGTTATAGTATACTACACCGTAGTGCGTATAATATACGGTTCAGCTTAAACCGGACGCCCGAACACAACACTCCAGACTTTCAGGCGCCAGGCACTCAACCCGAAGCCTGGAACCTCAAACCTAGGGTTTAGGGTTTGGGGTTTTGGGGTTAGGGCTGAGGGTTTAGTGTTTAGTGTTGAGGGTTTAGGGTCTAGGGGTCAGGATTGAGGGTTTGGGGTTTAGGGCTTAGGGTTGAGGGTTTAGGGTTTAAGGGTTTGGGTTTACGGGTTAGGGATTAGGTTTCGGGTTTAGGGCATAGGGCCACAAACAAAGCTCACCTACGTCGAGCCTCGAGGGGAGCTACTCATCGCAGAGGCCACCAGGCCTCCCGTCGCCAAGCTTTCGGCTTTAGTTTCATAGGTTTCAGGGTTTTGGGTCCTTATTATTATCCGGCACCTATTATTTAGGGTACCCCCAAAAAAGGACCATAATTTTGACAACTACCCATATAGGGTTTAGGGCCGTTTAGGGTTTAGGGCTTGGAGGTTTAGGGCTTAGGGGGTTCAGGCTGTGGGAACTGGAGGGTTTCGGCATTCGGCTCTCGAGTTTGCATTTCTCGGTTTTGGGCTTTCT